AGTCGGCTCAAACCGACGAGATGGCTCATCAGCGGGATTCAGCTCAGATGGAACCCATCGCACCCAAACCTTGCAATTGGTGGCCATCAAGAGGGCCGTAAACCGTCTACAACAATGGTTGAGTTTAGCATCGCACGCTTCCCTTTAAGAAGGCCAAGAACACGCTCATATAATCACATATGTAAACACGACGCCGACAATGATAACGATGATCCTTGGGCTGACGCCGGAGAACCCAAATAACCGCCTGCGCCTCTAGAATGCGAACAGGTTCTTTCCGAGTAAAACGCCCCGAACGCAACAGGCGCCACTGCAAATTTCTTGCAGGGTTAGCGGGCACCCCAGAGAACTCCGGGGCACCCCAACAATGAAGGGGCCCGAAAGGGCATCTCGATCACCAAGTTCTAGGCCACACATAGCACGAAGACGGGGGCGAGAGACCCAAAGCTCTTCTGGACTACGGAAACGCTGTCTCTCGTCACGACGACCACATCCCTTCGCAAAATCCAGATCCACACCAGCTGACACGACCCCCATCCCAATCAAGCAGGCGTCAATAGCTATCACCCGCCGGTCCCAGACAAGGCCCCAGAACGATCTGGCGAGCAAGAGGGGGACCCGAAAGGCATCTCTCTTTTTGCAACGGACCCCCACAGAGGAACATTCCGAACTCCGCCCAAACGTGCAAACTGGTAGCACGGCAGCAAGACATCAGCACTGACAGCATAGACCTCCCCGGCGCGTAGGCAAAGGTGAGGTGCCCGAAGAGCTTCCCTATACCCGTCGGACTGAAAGCTCTGCGGGCCAGCACCCAACTGACACATGACACGCCGATTCAAGCGCCAGAATCTTCATAGCGGCGCGGGCCGCTGAGCGGACCCCGTCAAGCATTACTCCACGGTTGACACTCTGCGAGTCGGCCTTCTCGTTGTCGTGCGCGCTGAGGCCCGCATCATTCAGCATCTTGGAGGCCTCATCGGCGACCTGCTGAACAAGGCCTTTGCCACCGCCGAGCACCCCGACGTTGTCTACACAGATGTAGCGTACAGTATCATGAGGCTTTTGGAGAGGCTGTCCCACTCAAAATTATGCAGCCGATTTGAGGGCCTCAGCCCAGGCACCCTCTCGACCAGCCCTCGGTTGGCCACCTGCGCAAAATTGAGACTGCACTTGAAATCAATTGGCAGGGCAGCGAAACAAATATGAACCCGATCGTCGAGCTCGAGGACGGTACCTTCCAGGAACTCCCCAGCCACCCCCGCGCCGCGAGCTTGAATTGCAGGCAGACCCAAATATCGGCTCAACTCTTCATCGATCCTGAACCTGCAGAAACAGTCCTGCACGTCCGTTGAAGAGGCGCGCACCGCAAGGTCACCCGACACCTCAAGCTCACAAAAAGATCCACACGTAGCGAGGATCACAGAAGGTGGATCGTGAAAGCGGCGACTAGCACGACGGGCGCCCACTATCTGGCGTCGACGTCTACCCTTCCTTTTAACACTGAAGGGGGCCACCCTCTCCTTCGCATAGCGGCACAAACGCACGACGCCCTTCTCGACGATCAGCCTGACAGAGGTGGTGCACAGGCCAACATCTGACTTCAGGCGCACGTCTAAATAGGGCACGATGGGGCCCTCATTATCCTCGACCCCCAAAACTTTACATCCGATCTGACGATCCGCTCCTCGAACCGACAGAGAAGCTCACGATTCGCGACCCCCCAGAAAGTCCACGGCAACGGGCGCGAGTGTACAGCAGGCGGAAGGGAAACCAATTTTGGCTTAAACGGCACCACGGGTGACTCTCCCGAGCAGCAACCTGCCCGGGCATGCAGAAGCTTGTCGGCAGCTTCACGCCGTTGCGGCACGGGCTCGACGGGCGCACTCCCCCTCGCGGCCACCATCGGCATATCCAAGACCGGAGAACGACTCTCGGTGAACACATCGGAGACAACGTCGTCGCGCCCGGCAAGCCCGTTCAGCGCCCCCTCGGCGTGGCCCCCTCGCAAAGCAGCGCGACGTCCTCGCCCAGCACGCGGTCGAGTCCCTCGCGAAAGGTACTTCCCAGCGACTTCAGGAACAGCCACTAGGGGAAGTGGAAAGAGCTCCACCGATCCCTGCAGCATGTCAAAAATGTTGGCGGCGACCCGCCCCAGGCGCAAGCCTGCTCGCCTCGGTCCGCCTTCGCCCCCCCCTCGTCCCCGAAGACATGGGCGAAGGGGGGACTGCTGCCCACGTCATCCTCGGAGGCGGAGGATCCTTCTTTGGCCCCCGCGCCTCCTTTTCATTCTGCCTGGCCGTCTCGATCTCGGCCTGGCCATTCGTTCCCTTCGCGATGTGGGCTGACAGCGGTGGCGCAATACCCAGGGCGCGCTGCTGAACGCCCATCCCAAACTCAACGCCATCGGACTTCGGATCACCAGGGACCCTCGAGTTGGCGTCGAGGAGCAGCTGCCACCGCCTGAACAAAGCTTCGAAACAAGACAACGAAGGAATATTGAATTGATCGCACGATCCAACATACTCGAAGGTCCTACAGATCACTTGCAGCCCGTCGGCCGCCCGATCCGCAGGAGCATTCTTTGACTCGGCCAGGAAACGATGATACCATTGCATCGGCGACCGGGAAGACGACCTCCTTCGCACAGCATATACCTCCTTGGCGTCCTCATCCTCAAACACTTCGTCATAGATGTCACCGTCTGGGGTCAGGACGACCCAGTGTTTAGTGGAGAGGCCAGAGAAGGACGCGTTCGTGAGCTAGGTCCTCGTCGTACTTGACTAGAAGACGCGTCCCCGGCACCAGCGATTCCCACCACGCCTCTGACCCTACTCTCGGTCCGCGAGCGGCCAACATCTTGCTGTCCACGACCAGTAGCCCACTGACCAATCAGAGTGATAGCCGATCCAACCACTGCACCCCCCAGCACTCCGTAGACACGAACTCCCGGGGCCACCACAATGCAGCTCACACGGTGGGCACGGAGGTGGACGAGGGCACCCCGCCTGTCCCGCGATGGCGGCCAGTGAGCTGTGACCGAGGGCCCGAACAAACTTTTGGAGCCCGACGTTCCCAAGGAGGGCGAGAAACATGCAAACCCAGCCGAATGCTCGAGCAAAGGAACGGCTATAGAGAAATGGATGTACGCAAAACCGTTCACATTGTCATTAAAATGCCCGCACAGCCATCGATGCTCCGTAAGTGTTTGAATGATGTGCGTGTTTGCTCCTTTTCGGCCTTCCGACGGCCCAAGACGGCCTCAGAGGCCCCCAAGATCGTCCCCAGAGGGCCCAAGAGGCCTCCAAGACCCCAAGAGGGCCCAAAGACGACCCAAGAGGCCTCTAAGACGCTCAAGATGGCCTCCACGACGGCCCTGGAGCACCCCAAGAGGGCCCCAAGTCGGCCCAGAGAGGCCCTCAAGACGACTTCCGACGGCGTCAGACGAGCCAGGAGCCCACCAAGACGGCCCATGGCCCCAAGATCGCCCCAAAATCGCCCCAAGATCGCCCAAGAGGCCTCCAGGATGGCACCACGGCCCCAAGAGGGCCCCAAGAGGGCACCAAGACGGCCCTGAAAGCTTCCAAGACGCCCAAGATGGCCTCCAAGACGGCTCTGGAGCGCCCCGAGAGGGCCCCAAGTCGGCCCAGAGAGGCCCTCAAGACGATCTCCGACGGCGTCAGACGGGCCAGGAGCCCACCAAGACGGCTAAAGACGCCCCCGAGAAGCCCCCCACTAGCCCCCAAGAGGCCCAAGGAGGCCTCCAAGATGCCTCCAAGAGACTCCCAGGAAGCTCCCAGGAGGCCCCAAGAGTGTCCCTAGAGGCTCCCAAGATGCTCCCTCTTCCTCCTCCTCCTCCTCCTCCTCCTCCTCCTCCTCCTCCTCCTCCTCCTCCTCCACCTCCACCACCTCCTCCGCCTACTCCTGATCTTCCCTGCCATCCTCCCCCAAGTGTTCCCCGATGGTTTTCCACACCGGTTGGGGGAACACATGGTCCGATAGCTTGGCAGAGCTCTTGCCACAACGCTCGGCCACATGGGCGATTCTAGAAGGCAGGGAGCGGCGGTGATTCGCCGTAGGCGTCTTCGATACATGGATACATATGTATATGCATACATGGGTATACCTAGAAATGCATGTACACACAAATACTAGAACCACGCGCGCTTCGCGCACTTGAGTTCTAGCAAGTTCTGGTTGTAGTCTGAAGTGCTCGGCGTCGGAGGGCACATAGTGTCAAACGGATCGTGCAGCTCAGGGAGCTCCACCGACGGCCCCAGATACAGGCTTGGCTTAAGAGTTTCCCCGCCAATGCTGGTACACCCCTCAAAGGGATCGCGCCCCACAGGAACCACCCCCCATGTCCCCAGAGACAAAGTTCGCCTAGTGGCACGCCCCTGACGCGGGTCCTGCCCAGCTAGTAACTGCATGTGCGGCACCAAAGGGGAGCTTCATAGCGTCGCCTGGCTTTCTTCGGCACACCTCTCGCACGGATCGTGGCCCGCAGGGACTTCCACGGACGGTCCCAGAGGCAAAGCTTGCATGCCGCCCCCCACCTACTTCGGCACACCTCTCGTACGGGTCGTGGCCCACAGGGATCTCCACCCATGGCCCCAGAGGCAGGGTTCGCATTACGCCCCCCCACCCATTGCGGCAAACCCCACCACGCAGATCGTACACAGAAGGAACACCACCGAAAGGCCCAAAAAGAAAGTTCGCACAGCGCCCCCCTCCCCATGCCGACACACCCGTCATGCGAAGCATGCCCCAGAAGGAACTCCAACTATGGCACCCATGGGCAGCTTCGCATGGCGTCCCCCCGCGCTTACTTCGGAACGTGCCCCGCACGGGCCGTGCCCAGAGGAGGTCGGCCTACGACCTCTCAGTGGGCGGCGCGCTCGGGGGCATCCGAACTATTCGGCACGCCCTGCGCGCGGACCGTGCCCCGCAGAGAGCTCCGCGAGCCCGCGCGCGCGTGCTCCGCAGCAGCCCCACTTCCGCAGTGCCCCGCGGCGCGCCGTGCACGAAGAGAGACAGGCGTCCCGCGCTGCACATGACTGCATAGAGGGACGGGTCCGTCGCCGAGCGAATTGCTGGCTTGTCCATAGCCTTCGGCCGCCATGGCTACCGTGCCTGAGTTCTGGGCCAGGGGATTCTCTCGGATACCTGTCTGTTGGCGTGCTTCTCGGGCGCCTCGTGGAGCGGCCTCTTGGGGGGTTCGTGGGGCCTCTTTTTCAGCCCTTCGGGGTCCTCTTGGGGGTCTGCCACTTGGAGCCGAGGGCTCGAAATGTCAGTTTGAAATCCCCCTCTTGGCTCCCTCTTGAGGCCCCTGTTGGGCCGTCTTGGGCGCCTCTTGGACCGTCTTTAGGGCTCTCTTGGGCCGTCCTGGGGCCCTCTTGCCTCTTGGGCCGAACCTTGGGGTGATCTTTCGGACCTCTAAGCCGTTTGGACGCTGTTCAGACCCAACATGCGCATCTGCTAAAATCCGTGTTGGCCGCAAGGATGGGACAACTTTTGCCCCCTGGGGCTCTCCCGGGGCGCAGGAGCCTTCTTGGGACGTCTTCGGAGCCTCTTGAGCCGTCTTGAAACAATGTTCGGGCGTCTTCGGCCCTGTCAGGCTGCTCTGGTCGCTTTGTTGGTGGCCTCCGGAGCTGCTTTGAACGGCGAGGGGGAGGCCCGGGAGGCCCTGGAAGTTGTCAAACTGTCTCGCAGGCCAAAATAAGGGGGAGGGCCGGGGGGGGGGGGGGAAATTCCGTGAGGGTGTCCTGGCCCTGGCCCCAGCCCCCCGGTACCCTGGCATGATATGTACAACCACGCGCGAGCTTCGCGCACGCTTAGGTTCTGGTCGGTCACAAGCAATCGGGCCAGCGGATGCCGGCCGTTGTGGAGTCCTCTTGGGACTGTCTTGCAGCCTCTTGGGGCCACGTTAGGTCCCCTTGGGCATTCCTATGCCGTCTTCGAGCCTTCTTGGGACATCTCTGGGCGCCCTTGAGCCGTCCTGGGGCCATCCTGGCCCTTCTTGGGCTCCAGTGGCGGCTATCTTGCGGTTGCCCTCTTGGGCCGGCTTGGGACCCGTCTTTGGTCTCTGGGCGCCCTTGAGCCGTCCTGGGGCCATCCTGGCCCTTCTTGGGCTCCACTATCTTGCGGTTGCCCTGGGCCGGCTTGGGACCCGTCTTTGGTCCTCTTCGGGCGCTACTTGGGACATTTGGGGGCTGGGTGCCCTTGGGGAGCCTGTGATTGGTGTGTGTGGGGGGGGGGGGCCTTCGGGGATCGTTGAGTCCTGGGGCTTGGTCTTGGGGGTCTGGGGGCCGTCTGCGGGGCGCCTCTGGGGGAGTACTGCGCAAGCCGAAGAGCGCCAGCACCAACGCTTCGAACATCGCGATCCCGAAGCTGGCAAACAAAAAGGGCGCGAAAGCGGGGAAGACGGCAGAAGGACGGAGAGGAGGGTTGAGGAACGGGAAGGCGGATGCCGCCGCGAGCGAGCATCTAGTGCTGGAACCTGGCTCGCTGGTGGCCCTGCTCGTGCTCGAGCCCGCCCAAAAAAAATGCTGGGCGGCGCCACGTACGAACATCCTGCGCCGAAAGCAGCCGCAGAGGGGCTCGCCGGCGCCCTTGCCCCGCGGCGCGCAGTGCACGAAGAGAGACAGGCGTCCCGCGCTACACATGACTGCATAGAGGGATGGGTCCGTCGCCAAGCGAATTGCTGGCTTGTCTATAGCCTTCGGCCCACATGGCTACTGTGCCTGAGTTCTGGGCCAGGGGATTCTCTCGGATACCTGCCTGTTGGCGTGCTTCTCGGGCGCCTCGTGGAGCGGCCTCTTGGGGGGTTCGTGGGGCCTCTTTTTCAGCCCTTCGGGGTCCTCTTGGCGGTCTGCCACTTGGAGCCGAGGGCTCGAAATGTCAGTCTGAAATCCCCCTCTTGGCTCCCTCTTGAGGCCCCTGTTGGGCCGTCTTGGGCGCCTCTTGGACCGTCTTTAGGGCTCTCTTGGGCCGTCCTGGGGCCCTCTTGCCTCTTGGGCCGAATCTTAAGGTGATCTTTCGGGCCTCTAAGCCGTTTGGACGCTGTTCAGACCCAACATGCGCATCTGCTAAAATCCGTGTTGGCCGCAAGGATGGGACAACTTTTGCCCCCTGGGGCTCTCCCTGGGCGCAGGAGCCTTCTTGGGACGTCTTCGGAGCCTCTTGAGCCGTCTTGAAACAATGTTCGGGCGTCTTCGGCCCTGTCAGGCTGCTCTGGTCGTTGTGTTGGTGGCCTCCGGAGCTGCTTTGAACGGCGAGGGGGAGGCCCGGGAGGCCCTGGAAGTTGTCAAACTGTCTCGCAGGCCAAAATAAGGGGGAGGGCCGGGGGGGGGGGGGGGAAATTCCGTGAGGGTGTCCTGGCCCTGGCCCCAGCCCCCCGGTACCCTGGCATGATATATGTACAACCACGCGCGAGCTTCGCGCACGCTTAGGTTCTGGTCGGTCACAAGCAATCGGGCCAGCGGATGCCGGCCGTTGTGGAGTCCTCTTGGGACTGTCTTGCAGCCTCTTGGGGCCACGTTAGGTCCCCTTGGGCATTCCTATGCCGTCTTCGAGCCTTCTTGGGACATCTCTGGGCGCCCTTGAGCCGTCCTGGGGCCATCCTGGCCCTTCTTGGGCTCCAGTGGCGGCTATCTTGCGGTTGCCCTGGGCCGGCTTGGGACCCGTCTTTGGTCCTCTTCGGGCGCTACTTGGGACATCTTGGGGGCTGGGTGCCCTTGGGGAGCCTGTGATTGGTGTGTGGGGGGGGGGGGCCTTCGGGGATCGTTGAGTCCTGGGGCTTGGTCTTGGGGGTCTGGGGGCCGTCTGCGGGGCGCCTCTGGGGGAGTACTGCGCAAGCCGAAGAGCGCCAGCACCAACGCTTCGAACATCGCGATCCCGAAGCTGGCAAACAAAAAGGGCGCGAAAGCGGGGAAGACGGCAGAAGGACGGAGAGGAGGGTTGAGGAACGGGAAGGCGGATGCCGCCGCGAGCGAGCATCTAGTGCTGGAACCTGGCTCGCTGGTGGCCCTGCTCGTGCTCGAGCCCGCCCCAAAAAAATGCTGGGCGGCGCCACGTACGAACATCCTGCGCCGAAAAAGCAGCCGCAGAGGGGCTCGCCGGCGCCCTTGCCCATGTCGGAAGCGGCCCAAAAAGTGTCCCGGATCGCTCCTTGGAGAGCTGCAAAGGCCTTTCGATTAGAAGCCGCTACGCCAGCTCCTGTCCAAGGCTCCCGGGCACCGCTTGGCTGTGCAGGGGGGGGGGCTCGGCCCTCCGTGCTCGAGTCGCAGGGCCGCATCAGCACGGGACGTGCCCGACCTCGCCCGGGCTGCCGAGGCCCGATCGGCCCGTGGCAGGCTGCGCCGCGCCGTGCCGGCCACCCCTCGCGCCACGACCACGCCCGTGCTGCCCACCTCCTCGCTGCTCCTCCCCTCGAGGGGCAGCGGAAGGTGGGGACGGGCACGGGGGGGGGGATGCGTCGACCTGGGATCGGCGACACGTCGCCGAGGGATCGGCACTGGGCCCCCGGATAGTGAGTCCGCACGGCTCCTGGGCGGGTGGAGGCTATCGGGCTGCTCTCGGCGATCCATGGGCGATCGGGGGCAGATATGCATCCCCCCCTTATGCCTATCTCCCCCGATCGCTGCTCCTGGCCACTTTCTCTGGGCACCTGCTGGCAGAGCGGTTCCCTCCTTCTCCTCGAGAGCGCATGGCTTTTGCACAGCGGCACTTGGGGCATGCCAAAAAAACTCAGCTGTGCACTACTGGCTCACGCGCCTCGACATATGACCGAGCTCTGAATCTGAACCCGGCCCGTGGTGGCGAGGCCGGCGCAACTGGCGTGGCCTCTTTGATCTCAGAGACAGTCCGAGACGAGGACTTGCCTTTCAGCTTCCGGCGCAAAGCCACCACCGCTGCCCCGATCGCACCTCTCAAGGCCCCGGACCCGTCCAGGCCTGCCCCAAGCAAACTTGCACTTGCAGGAGCACTGTCAGGGCCGCGCGAAGCAACCCGCTTCGCGGGCGACCCCACCACGAACTCCGGGCCGCCCAACTCTGCGCCGACAGGGCGCGAAGCGATTGGCTCCGCGGACGCCCCACCCACGCGCTGCAGGCCGTTCGAGTTCTCGGGATGTGGTGTGCGGGCCCTCACGATGCCAACCTTGCGAGAGTGCATCGGCTCGTGCACGATGACGCCGAATGTCCGTGGCACATGACGTTGGAGATTCACTCCGACCGGTGGCGCCGCGTCACCCACCAGTATCGGGTCTTGGCGCCAGGATTCATCGATCGCTGGCACCGCCATCGGAGAGCAAAGCCTGCGGGAGATACTGCAGGAGCGGAGCGCGGGCGGGGTGGCGAGACAAGCCAAACAGTTAACTGATGAATTAGGCTTGCACCACAATTGCTATGGAATGTTCCTAGTCTTTTTCGCAATGGGGTCCTCGTGTTTTGTCCGCAGCGCCGCGCGTCTCCCTACTCATCCTCCTCCAGGGCCTCCGCCTCCTCCTCGTCCTCCTCCTGCTCCATCCATTTTCCGTATGAACAAATCGTCCCTGTCGCACCCCCAGACGTGTCGGCAGGGCTGGTCATGCGATTCGCCTGAGACTTCCCAACCATAGACAATCCTGAAACTTGAAACTTGCAACAGCTTCACGGATGGAGGGCGGGCCGTTTCAAAAATATGGTTCTCGCTTTAGTGCCGCGCATATACGCCCGAAAACTTTACAACAACTTCGCGGCTGGAGGACGGGTCGTTTTCAAGATGGAGTTCTCGCCTCCGCACCGCGCGCACTCGTCATAAAAACCACCGCAATTGCACGGATGGAAGGCGGCCCACTGTCAAGACGTGGCTCTCGCCTCCGCGCCGCGAACGTTCGTTTGAAAAGATGCACCAGCTTCGTGGATGGAGGGCGGGCCGGTTCCACAACGTTAGTCTCGCCATGGCGCCGCGCTCGTCTTAAAGAGTGTAACAGTTTCGTCGATGGAGGACGAGTCGTTTCCAAAGTGTGGCTCTCGCCTCAGAGCCGCGCGCATTCGTATGAAAAGTCTGCAGCAGTTCCTTGGATGCAGAATGCCCCGTTTCAAAAAATGAAGCGTTCGCACTATCGCCGCGCACGTTCGTCTTGAAAGATCGCAGCGGTTCGAAGGATTCGGATGGTTGAAATCCAAGGAATGGTGTCCTGGCACGATCTGTGACTGTCCAGACGCAACCGTTACGTTGCTTCGCTGTCTTGTAGTCTCAGGCATGGTGTTGTGGCACGAATGATAATGTCAGGCCACAACGGTCACGTTGATTCGCGGCGCTGAAATCCGAGTGCGTGTGAACTAGAATTTTTTTTGTTTAATTGGGTCGGTGGCCGGTGACCCTGTGACCCGGTGACCCGGTGACCCCGTGACCCGGTGGGGTGGGTCAGCTGACCCAGTGACCCGGTGACCCGGTGACCCGGTGGGGTGGGTCAGCTGACCCGGTGACCCGGTGACCCGGTGGGGTGGGTCTGCTGACCCGGTGACCCAATGACCCGGTGGGGTGGGTCAGCTGACCCAGTGACCCGGTGACCCGGTGACCCGGTGACCTGGTGGGGTGGGTCAGCTGACCCAGAGACCCGGTGACCCAAGGACCCGCGCAGCAGCAGCCGGCTCCGCAGCCTGCTCAGCCGCCTCTCGGGCTGGAGGGGGCTGCCGCGGCGGCTGCCCGAGCGGGCGCCGGAGCGGGCGCAGCAGCGGCGGCTGAGGCCACGGAGCCGCCCGCGGAGCCCTCCATCGAGGACTTGCGAGCGGTCCTGCACCAAGCCGGCGCGCGGGCCCCCGTCGAGGACGAGCAGGCCCGAGCCCATGCCGATGCACTGCGCCAAGCACTCTCCGCCATCGGCCCAGGGGCGTCCGGGCACAGGGTGGCTCGCGCGGCGCCCAGCACTGTCATGTACTAGGCGTATGGGAAGACTTCCGAAGCTGGTACGTCGTTGTTCCGTGAGCACCATGATGATGGTGAACTTCGCTACGGTGACGGGCAGCAAGGATGCGCTGGCTGCTGATCCGCCCGAGTCCGGGGCCATTGCAGGTGTTTGGCCTCCCTGCCAGGATGCGCTGGCTGCCGTGGAGCGTTTGGAGCACGGTCAGCAGGGTGCCTCGGGCCTTCCGCCTGGGCCGGCTGGCAGCGCTCGCGCCGCGGGGCCCCCTGCCGGCGCCAGCCACAGACCCCCGGCTGGAGGCGCTGACGTTAACCCGGCCGGAGCTTCGTCGGCGGCGCCTGGCAGCGGCCGCGCTGCAGGGCCCCCTGACGGCGCCAGCAGCTGGGAAGATGAGCCCCCAGGCCATCTTCCCACCCTGCCAGCGCCGCAGGGCCCTTGACGACCAAGGGTCGCACGGGCCGCTGCGGCGTTTCCTGGGCGAGGCCTCCGCCGAGGTCGTGGCGTTCCAGGAGCACCACAGGATGCAGGATCGGCTCGGGGAGTTGCAGGACCAGGTGCGCCACCTGGGCTACCGAGGATTGTGGGCCCCTGCCGTGCCGTCCGACAGGGGGAAGGGAACCACGGGCGGAGTTGGCATAGTCACCACGCCGTACATCGCCGTGACGGTGCCCAAGGGCCTGGAGTCCCACGTCGCGGAGCCAGAAAGGATATGCGCTGCCCACGTTCACTGGGGAGTGCCCGGGGGCTTGGTGGTGTTCTCCGCCTACATCCTCACGAGCGAGGGGTTGGGCGCCGTCAACCAACACCTGGTTGCGCAGCTCTGCCGCAGCATCACCGCGGTGGCGGCCCATGGCTACGACTGGATTGTGGCTGGCGCCTTCAACATGGAGTCGAGCAGGCTGGGGTTCGACTGGGTGCACGCGCTGCAGGGCATCATCCTAACGCCGCTGGACTCCACGTGCCGGCAGGGGGCAAGCTCCAGCTGCATCGACTTCTTCGTGTGCTCTGCCAACCTGGCCAGTCGAGTGCGGAGGCCGCAGGTGTCCGAGGACTCCCATCTGGCTCCTCACCAGCCCGCGGTACTTCCTCTAGGAAGGCACCAACTATGCACCAACACCGATCCTGGCCAGGATCACCCTGGGCCCAGGATCGGTGTATACGCCCTCCCGCCTTGGGCAAGAAGGCATATACACCGATCCTGGGCCCAGGGTGATACTGGGCCAGGATCGGTGTTGGTGTACACCCTGCGAAATGCTTAAGAAATCATGGGTTAAGAAATTCATCGTCTCAGAATCTGAATCAAAAAACAGAGCTTCTGTTAAAATCTGGGGATTTACATTGAAGCATTAAGAATAATCGAGACTCTGGCCGAAAACTTAGGTTTTCTTAAGCATCGCCTAAGGTGTATAGCTGGTCCCCCCCGATCCTCTCCTGGCTCAGGCGAGCCGAGGCGTCTCCCCGCGCTTCCCCAAAAGCCGGGCGGCGGGCGCCCGCCGGGGCCGGGGCATCTCACCCGGGATGTGGTCAGGGCGGCCACCGACGACGCCTCCCTCCAGAAGGCGTGGGGCACCGTCCTGGCGGGGCCGGCGGCCGAGCTCCTGGGCAGGTTCTCGGGAGCGGCCAAGAAGGGGGTGTCCAAGAGGGAGGGGTGCAAATCATGACCGGCGGCATGTGCGCGGCCCAGCGGGGGGGCCAGGGACGTGATGAAACAAGGAGAGGCGCCATGAAATCTGAGGAAATATCATGGCCCGCGCCATGAAATCCACCCCCCCCTAGTCATCACCCCCCTCTTTTCCGCCCCCGAGGTTCGATCTGGTTGGTGACAAGTTTCGCCGGTACAGTGGCCGGGCAGGCGATGTCGGCTGCAAGTGGGTGAAGTTGCATTGGGTCCCGCCTGAGAAGCATTGCGGGGTTGACGCTGCCACGCAGGCTTGGGCTTGCGCGGCACGCTGGGCCAAGCACTCGATGGCTGCGCGCGCGCGCCCCTCCAGAAGCGCTTGCGCGGAGTGGCAGGGCCTGGCACTGCCGCTCAGCACCGTGAGACCGTGAGATCACCGGGGCGCTCGATGAACTCGGGAAGTTCTTTGACAAGATCCTCGGCTCCAGGTACCTGCGGCACCTGGAGGCGCGGGCCGCGGGTTTCTTCTCGGAGCGCGGGCAGGCCCTGCTCAGCTGCGATTTTGAGGACATGGTGTACGCCATCGTCGAGAAGGCCGACGACCTGGAGGCCAAGGCCCGGAAGGTCAACCAGGCCAAGTGGGTGGAGTGGGCTCACGAAGCCTTCCTGCACGGGGCTCGAGGTGCGCACCGGGCCTCTAAGGTCTAGGCGCTGCAGGAGGTCATCGAAGCCAGGTCGGATGCTTCCCCCTCCGCCTTAGTGCACGATGCCATGGAGGACTGAAGGAGATCTGGAGGATCCATGAACTGGAGCCGCTGCATCTGCCCTCGGATGCGCCCTCCTGGGACGACCTGCCTGACGCGTCGGTGGAGCAGCTCAGGGCGGCTCTGGCGAGTTTCTCTTGGTCCACGGCTTCGGGGCAATTGCACATCTCACCTAGGACTTTCTCGTTCCTGTCGGACGTGGCTTTGGAGAGTCTGATTGCGCTGTTTCGGCGTTGTGAGACGCTACTGCGCTGGCCTTCCCAGCGGATCCTGAATGAGCTTGTCCTGTTGCCCAAGGATGGCGGCGGTCATCGCGTGATCACGCTGGTGACTGGTGCAGTCCTTGGTGCGGGTGTAGAGTCGCACGCGCAAGGAATTGTCCGCGACGTGGCTGGCCGAACATCCCAGTCCGCTCATGTTCGGCACTGCATGTCCTGGCAACACCAGCTCGGATTCGGCCTTCCAGCACAACCTGCATGCTGAGACGAAGACGTCGCTGGGGGGCCACTCGGTGACCGTCCTCTACGACGCCTACAAGTGTTTCGAGTTGGTGAGGCCAGATGCCATGCTCGCGGAGGCAAGGGCCCTCTGCTTCCCGCTGCGCCTGCTGTGGATGCTGCTGGCCTACTTCGCAGAACCTCGTTACTTGCGCGCCTATGGTTGTTGCAGTCTGACCTACCGCCCCTGGCAGGGAGTGCTGGCGGGGTGCACGCATGCCACGACGTCGGTTGCAGTGCTGACGTACCGTGTGCTGCATCGTGTCAAGTTGACCTCGGATTCGGTCATCCCGAGGTCCTTCATCGACGACGTCAGTCTCCAATGGCTGGGCCAGCGAGCCGAAGAGGCACGCACATTGCTCCAGGCTGCTCGTGTGTTTTGCGAGGAGGTGAAGCCCCTCGGTTTTCTCCTCCAGCCCGCCAAGA